CATTTCCCCGAAAGTTGCATTCCAAAGTACTTTTCAATTACAGTTTACCAAACAGTATTTGCATTTCACCAAATCCTTTTCCTCTAAAGGCCTTTGCATTTTCCCAAAGGCTTTTCTCAAAAGCCGAACCAAACAGTCCCTAATCCATTTGGACCAATTTTCATGTAATACAAATTTAGTGATCCATACTCAATCTATACTCGATCCAACTCATATTGCTAAAATCCATACCCAAACTAAAGCGAGAGCACAAAATCGAGTGAAGGCGAGAGAGAGTGAAGAGTGCATCATAGAGGCGGGTTAGAAATAAATTGTGGACCCATTTAACACCCATATTATTTTGGGCTTTACCATTTTAAACTCATTTACTGAATATAACTAATCCATTTAATAACTCAGCCCATCAAATATGGGTTAAGAAATGGGTTTATAACACATTTTGACATGTCTAAATAGAAGTCTCCTTGACACGACTCTAACTGTCCATCGCACGAAATTCCTTGGTATAAAGTCAAAATGCCTTAGGTTCAAGACAAATTTGAAGACTCTTCGATTACAAGTTTAAATCTGACCACATCCTAAATTATTTCCTTGGCACGAAGCTAAAGCTGCCCAAAAAGTTCAAGATTATTTTAAGAATCATAGACACGAGTCTAAATTGTCTCCAGCATGAATACCTCAGATAACAAAGTTCATGTCATGAAGCTCTTGATGGCACGATTTAATATGTGGATGGTCGGAACAAAAAATTCAAGCCATGTCTCTTGCAATGGACATGACTTGAATTTGGGGCATCTGTACAGACTGAATCTTGTTAGCCTATGATCAAAAGCCCATCAAGTTCATCTTAGTAGCAAATTATATAGTGCTACTATAACATTCATATTGGCAGTTTGAGAGGGGATTCAGAAATTTCCATCCACGCGAGCTTGACATAATCGTTCTATTCAAATAGGCAATGTGTTATAAATTGCTAATTGGCTGATCAAATGCATAGAAGAAAAATGAGTTAATTATAAAAATTGAATTGACGTTCATCCAAATCAAATTTGAAATGGATTGGATGTTTGTTTCAATTGAAAATCAGGCTCTTAGATGTAGAATCGTAGAAAATATTGAATCGACTGATCATGTTCAAGACTGAATAAGCCAATCAAGTTCAGATACGTGAATCAAAGCTCCTCCCCTCCTCTTTATAAATAGAAGGCTCTTCCGTTTAGGCTCCGTTTGTTTCACAGAAAATAAGCAATTTAAAAAATATTTTCCTAAAAATGATCATTTGTATCCATTAAAATAATTAGCCAAAAAAATATTTTCATTATTGACAATAATTTATATCTAATTATTTTCGTGGATGATATAAATAGTTTTTGTATGTTAATTTTTATAAATCATATAAGCGATCATTTTTAGGATAATATTTTACAAATCATTTATTTTTCGTGAAATAAATGGAGCCTATTTCAAGATAAATAGACAAGGACTTATCGAAACTCTGCGTAATTCTGTCACGAAGTTCTTGGAGACCGAAGATTTTTCAGGAAAGAGAAGCCTCGTCAAATTTTAGGTCATCAAAGCCTTTCAAATTTTAGATCACCAAGATCTCGACATTGGATCGTCAAGATCACAACCAAGAAATTCCATCATCAAGGCTTTGATCATCTTCTATCCAAGATTGCGCCACGAAGGCCATCAGATTATCTTTATAATATTTAAAGAAAAGAGTCAGAGAGATCATTCATTTCATTTTGAAAACTTGGAGATTGTAGCCATCTTTAAATTAATGCAAATTTTTTGACCAAAAAAAAAATTAATGCAAATTCAATACACTTCTGTTTGCTTTGATTTCATATTGCAGATTTATTTGAGTACAGTATTCCATCACGGTTATCAAATAGACTTTGCTTTGGTCATTCGAACCTCTTTGTTTTCGTTCCAATTTGCAGAAGGAATAACAAAAGCAAAAATTGTTTTCTGTCATAACTTCAATTCTAGATCTAGTTCCCTTCTATTGTTTTAAAAATTATTCTAGGAATGTCGCTAAATGTTCTTTTTTTTTTCCGGGTTGTTATTAATTTCTATTTCCCAAATCCAATGAAAATATAACCTGAAAAAATTTCATGAACGAAACAACTCTCCAGTCGTCAGAAATATATTACCCTTTCAAAAAAGGAATTGTGCATTAATCGTCGCAACAGATCTCCTCCTTTTGTTAGAAAGGTATTTACATGAGGGTCAAACAGTTGATATAGTGTCCTGATCAATCACGTTACCAGCGGGATATGCTTATCCTTCATCGCGCCGCTTAAATTTTGAAAACCCTCTTTTCTAATTAACTTGCTAACGCGACTGACATGTGATGAGACCGTTGCATGCAATCGCTCCTTCCTCCAAGCATAGTTTTTTTCTTTTGCTGTTGGGATATTGATAAAAATTATTCCCGAATTTTTAATTTGTTCAATATAATTTTTGGACTTTAACTTAATGTGCAATGTGATCCTTGAATTTTTAATTTGTTCAATGTGGTCCATGGACTTTCGGAACATGCTCAACTTAGTCTCTAAATAATATGAAAATGTTCAATATTGTCATTCCATTAATTCAAGTTTAGGGACAACATTGAACATTTTCATATAATTCAAAGATTAAATTAGACATGTACCAAAAGTTTAGGGACCACATTGAACAAATTAAAAGTTTAGAGACATAGTGGGCTAAAGTTCAGGGATTACATAGAACAAATTAAAAATTTATAAATCACATTACATATTGGGTCAAAGTCTAGAGGCCGTTTGTGTCATTTTTCCTTTGTTGTTGATCCTACTCTCTTCCTCCCTAACATATTCATTTAGAAGCCTAAAAAACGAAGAGAGAAAGAAGATGAACTCCTTTACAAGCATAATCTAAAAAGGGAAAAATTATCCAAAAAGTCATAAATTTATTGCATTTTTGCCAATTTAGTCATAAATATTTTACATTTTGTCAATTGAGTCCGTCCGAACTATTTTGGTTGGAAGTCGCTGATGTGGACGCCAACCGTTCTATATGACACAACTGGCGTTGACGTGAATAATTTTTAATAAATATTTTTATATTTTTCGATTTATTTATTTTTCTTTTCTTTTCTTTTTTTTACACCTCTGACTGGTGGGGTCGCTGGCCACATGCGTGGTCTGGGCGAGGGCAGGGCCACGAGCCTCTCGCTTGTGACCAGCTAGGTGTTGCAACCCGTGCCTAGATCTCTCTCTCTCTCTCTCTCTCTCTCTCTCTCTCTCTCCACACTTGGGAAGACGATGAGTTCGTCTTCAATGGTGTCGAAGACGAAGAGTCGAGGGCCGACACCCTCACTAGATTCAGACGAGGGCTGCCAACCCCTCGCCCAGATCTAGGCGAGTGTCAATGCCTGGATTTGGGCAAGGGCGCGGAGGCCCTTGCTCGTGGCCGGCGGCAGGGCCGTGACGTCCTTGCCTGGACCAAGCGAGGATCACTGGTCCTTGCTTGTGGCTGACAATGGTTGTAGAGATGTAAAGAAAAGAAAAGAAAAGAAAAGGAAAATTCGAAAAAAAATTATTAAATATATTATTAAAAAAATTAATTTACGCCATCGTCGATTGTGTCGCGTAGGAAGGCTGGCGTCCACGTCAGCAATATCTGGTCAAAATTAATCAAATGAACTGAATTGACAAAAAATGAAAAGTGTTAATACTTAATTGACAAAATTATAATATTTAGGACTGATTTGATAAAAATATAATAAATTCGAAAATTTTAATACGATATTCCCACCTAAAAAGTTAAATTGGACATCATTATGTTTAATTATTTATATATAAACAAAGCTGTCCACAGAATCTGCCTAGTAAACGACAAACATCCGAAAATATCGTAATAATATGGGTTAATACCACGAAAAACCCTAAACTGGTACACTTGTGACACATTTACCCCAAACTATTTTTTTGACCATAAAAAACCCCAAACTAGTACACCTGTGACAATTTACCCCGAACATACCACAAAAAACCCCAAACTGGTACACAAGTGACAATTTTACCCCGAACTAATTTTTAATATTATTTTTTTATTTTTTTGAATTTTTGAATTTTTTATTTTATTTTCTTTTCTTGTTTTTTCCTTCACCTTCAACCTCTGGCCGGTCGCCGGTCCGGCGACCGGCCAGAGGCGGAAGCCGGCGAGGGCCGCCCTCGCCGGATCTGGCGAGGGCGACCCTCGCCTGCGTCGAGCGAGGGCCATCCTCGCCTGCCCAGGGCGAGGGCGACCCTCGCCTGCCCAGGGCGAGGGCGACCCTCGCCTGCGTCGGGCAAGGGTCTCCCTTACCCTGGGCTCCCGAGGCTTACGTGGGTGACTGTATTGAGTAAGGATTTTTTGGCTGACGCGAGCGAAATTCCGCCCGATACCAGTGAGGGTCGCCCTTGCCGAATCTGGCGAGGGCGACCCTCGCCTACGTCGGGCGAGGGTCTCCCTTACCCTGGGCGGGAGAGGACGGCCCTCGCCCGACGCCGGCGAGGGCCGCCCTCGCCGGTTTCCGCCTCTGGCGGGTCGCCGGACCGGCGATCGGCCAGAGTTTGAAAATAAAAAAAAGAAAAGAAAAGAATAAAAAATAAATAAAAATTCGAAAAAAATAAAAAAATAATATTAAAATTTTAATTCAGGGTAAAATTGTCACATATGTACCAGTTTGGGGTTTTTTGTGGTAAGTTCAGGGTAAAATTGTCACAGGTGTACCAGTTTGGGGTTTTTGGTGGTCAAAAAAATAGTTCAAGGTAAAATTGTCACAGGTGTACCAGTTTGAGATTTTTTATGGTCAAAAAAATAATTTTAGGTAAATGTGTCACATGTATACAAGTTTAGGGTTTTTCGTGGTATTAACCGTAATAATATCACCACCGACGTGCGACGCCGCTTCAAATCAAACGAGTCCACGTGGCATCCCCTCATTCAATCGTCTTCCCCACCACGATACACGATGCGCCCACAGCTTCGCTGTCCCTGACCACCCCCCCTGACCCCGCGCTCCGCAAATCAAGAATCGCACAGATCGATACCGACACCTCCCGAAGAAATCTCTACCCCCTTCGCTTCTCCCGACCTGTTCTTCGATCTCGGAGGAATCGTGGGTCGCGGCCGGATTCCGACGATCGTTGAGAAAAGTGCGGGCTTTTGGAGGACCATGGGCAAGTACGGGTACTTGAAGATGAGGACGGATGGGGGAGGAGCGAGCGGTCAGATCGGCTCCGATCTGCAGGAGCTCGGCGCCGCCGCGAGGAAGCTGGTGAACCACGCGATCAGGCTGGGGAGCCTGGGGTTCGGGACCACGTTTCTTGAATGGGTGGCTTCGTTTGCCGCGATGTGAGAGCCCGAAATTCCGTTTGCCTCTCTGTTTCTCCTCCATGATTGGAAATGTTGGTGGTGTCGTGAAGTTATGTGTTAATTTTGGCATGTGCTTGCTCAACGGCCGTGATTTGTTGTTGTTGCATGTGGTAGATGATAACCTTTTTTCCGGTTGTTCTTTTTATAACTGAGCTCAGTATGCAGGTCTTTGGATAGTAAATTGTGCTCTGTTTTTGTCCTGTTTCGTTTATTTGTCATTTTGGGTTTTGTCATTCCGTGTCGAATTCGCCGGTCTGATTTCTGAAGTGAAAGTGTATCAGATGTTATGTGAAGTGTTGGTTCATTTCTCTGAGCTTTTTTAACTGCTTTGCACAAATGGAGCTTGGACATTGGTTCTTTAATTTATTCTGTGAATTGTTGCAGCTGACCTCGACACTGAGCTTGCTGCAGATTTTGCTTAATGTTTGAGAGATCATGTGTGGATTTGATAGATGTATAAAATCCCACATGAACTTTTTGTATATGAATGTAGTGGAACTTCCTTGTGAAGTTTTATGGGATGGAATTTTGTCTACCCGGGCATCATAGCTTCAGCCTATCTACCTGGCAGAAGCAGCACGCCGAGTTTTCGTTATATGAATTCGGGTCGGAAGCCAAAATTGAAGTGGAAAATGAGAGTAGATACAGTGAGCACGAGTTTTGTACTTGAAACTGATATGACAATTTCGGAAGCTAATGGAAGTGGTCTTTTGGTTTTCGTTCGTGCAGTTATTTGTTGGTCCTGGATCGAACAAATTGGAGAACGAATATTCTCACGGCATTGTTGATCCCATACATATTCTTTAGTCTTCCTTCATTGGTGTTCAACGTGTTCAGGTGACTACAGAACTTTACAAAACCATTGTCTTCTGTCTGAATTTTAATCTTCTTGAATTAACTTGTCATTTTCTGTCTTGTGCAGGGGAGATGTAGGAAAGTGGATTGCCTTTGTTGCTATTATACTGCGACTGTTTTTTCCTCGGCATTTCCCAGGTATTGTTTTCTTTTCCACAAAGTTACACCTTTCATGTTGGGCATATTTGTTGAAGTGTTTACCGGTGCTTTTGCTAATGCCGCCAGCAATTTGTTTATCTAAACTTTTAAATACACTCTGCATCCTATGTCGGATGAAACAAGGCAATGTGTATTTTCTTTTCACACTCAATTCAGTTAATAGATTCTTTCGTTTCCTTAAGACAACTTTTTATATTGTATTATCCGTGGACATACTGAAATCATATACTCTTGCTAACCAAAAATAGACTGTCTTATAAGAATGAACTTTTAGGTTGATGAGAGAGTAATCTGCGGATGATACAGTAACTGGCGTGCTTCGTAACAGTGCTCATCTTTATTTTCTTGCTGTTACATCAGTATATTTGAGTATCCAACTCAGGCTATTCACTTTCATAATTGCTGTTCCCTGTCATATTTTTTGGCTGCAGACTGGCTGGAAATGCCAGCTGCTCTGATTCTATTGATAGTGGTGGCTCCAAGCTTATTTGCAAGCACCCTCAGAGGAAGCTCGATTGGAGTGTTGATATGTCTTCTTATCGCATGTTATCTTCTACAAGAGCACATCCGAGCAGCTGGTGGCTTTAGAAACTCGTTTACACAGCCGCACGGCATTTCAAACACCATCGGAATACTCGTCTTGCTGGTTTTCCCTGTGTGGGGGTTGGTAGTTTATTTTCTATAGCCAGTTTCAGATGGCCGGTATTGTTTTGTCAGTGTGAATCCATATTGCTTCTTTCATTGTTTGTGAAGATATTGATTCATGCAGACTTGCTTAAGACTCAAACCAATCAAGTGAATGCGAGTTATTTTTCCGATCTTGGTTTTGCTTTCGCTGTGAGAGCTTGGTGTGCAAACAATGATTCTTGCTCACTAATGTGAGGATTGAACCTTTTCTCCTTAAAAGTTCCTGCTCCTGTAGGTATTGTGGACAAACGATATCTGCACACTGGAGGGTCGATTCCGAGATCATTCAGCATCTTCTTCGGTAACTGGTGCTTCCATATGGTAACTTTATGTGCCGATTTGTGAAGTAAACTTTTACCTTTTGTGTTTTAGCAAAACCGAGTAGATAGCGAAATGAGTCGCGGATGGATACTAAACTCAGAAAAAAAATTTCTCTGAGTTGTCTTTTGTGCACAAAATTTACTTAGTGAGTTTTCTTTAGTCCCCGTCTTTGCTCTATTAACCCTGACTATTCTTGACTTAGTTTCCTTCTTCACTTCACTCTCTGCTTTTCTAATTTCCTCCTCCCTTTCTCTTCATCCTTCAAATTCACCTCACAGACCGACAGGTCAAAGAGCTACGAGTCATAACCGGGTTTTCTAGTGGCTTCAATCCCGATTTGTGAGGTAAAACCACACAAATGTTCAATGCTTGATCACTCGCATTGGTCGGCGCTGATGATCAAATTGTTCAATACGTGATTGTTTCTGCTGTTTGGTCGGGTTGTCGTTCTCCAAATTGATATAAGATGAGAGAGAAAAGGAATTTGACCCGGATCGTAGCACTTCACATCAATCTGTTGTAATCTGCGCATTGCAGAGGAGGCCAGGAGTGATGTGCTCTTTGAATCGATTTGAGTCTCTTCCCTTTCAGCAGCACAGAACATAAATCAAATGGTCCCCCGACGGAACCACTTTACGTTGATGCCTTGTCCGAGATCTCCTGATTTCTTGGCAATTATCGAGTAGAAGGGAAAACGAATTCACTAATCTCCAATGCAGAGCGAGAATTATATGTAAAACTAGGAGGACTTCATGTTATTAAGAGAGTAACAAATGAAAAATAGATCTTGTTTGCTCCTCCCTAGCATCAAAGTATCTTATAAGCATTTATCGAGCGGTTGAATATTAACACATGCAAGTACAGATGAAGTTGTGAAGATGAGGGATCGATGAACGAGCCTTTGTGATAATTCGCTCGCAACCTCGATCGATTCTTCAGGAAAGAAACAATCTAAATGTAGTTTTAAGCAGATGGCCAATGCTGTGTATGTGGACTTATGGAGCCATGCCCTCCAATAGCGGCTCTTACACTTTGTTTGCTTTTGCTTCAGAGTAGAGCTGGTCAATACAGTCCTACAGGAAACAAATAGCAGAAGAACACTCAGGTTTAGTGCAGTCGTTTGCAGTTTTGAGACTTAAAAAGTGTAATGTGCAAGACCACCTTAAAAAGATCTAGGTGAAAGTTAGTACCACCCAAGATTATTAGTTTCGCCCAGAACCCAGTGCTCGGTACTGCTTAATGTCGTTATAAGTAACGTGATGCTCTTGTTAATGCATTACTTTCCTAAATAACATTAATGAACTTGAGGCAGGAAAAAACCTGCGTGCTTGTGATCGAGCAGACTATAAGATGCAGATGTGATAAGGTCGAGAAAATCTCGTGGAACTGCAAGAATTTTGCTTATTTGTCGCATACAGATTCCCTTTTTACAAAATTGGAGGTGATCATGAAATAGAGTTATCGGTAGCAATCTCAGGTCAGCTATCTTAGGAAACAAGCTAAGAGGCTAGAATGAGTACCTTGTAGTATTTGAGCAACTGCGGGCGCTTCAGTTTGAAGGTCGGAGTGATCAGATCTCTCTCCATGTCAAAGAGGTTAGGCTCCAAGTGGACCGCTTTCAGCATCTCGAAACCTCGAAGCTGCACAGAGAATTTCGAGTCAGACGGCAAAATGCAATGTCGTGCTTTCGCATTTTGCAAGAGATGGGAATTTATCTGCTTACTTTGTGCTTCTGGCCGGTGCTGTTTAGCTCGTCCAACACGTACTTCTTCGCCTTGAGATTTTGGCACAGCGAATGGAAATCCCCCGTGACACCTTGGTTTGCCGCCCAGTCCTCGAGGGCCTTCCTATCGGGGACCACTACGGCCACAAGGAAGGACTCGAAGCTGTTCCCGTATACCCAAATCTGTTGCAGAAAACGTGGGAAGAAACATAAAATTCATAAAATCAGAAGAAAATGTTTGGCCTGTGTCTGCTCTACTTCATATGAACTGGCAAGAGGCATACCGAAGTCACAAGAGGGCAACGCTGATACACGCTCTCGACATTCTCTACAGCGACATATTCACCTTGAGAAAGCTTAAATATGTTCTTTTTCCGATCGATGATCTTCATTGCCCCGTTTGGCTGCCACTCACCAATGTCCCCTGCAAAACATGTGATTTGCAAGAACAAACAATCCTTTCTTTAATACTAAGTGATGGTTGAAATCAGTTTGGTAAGAACGGATTTGGGATATGTCTACTCCAAATTATAGCTGCAATTCAGAAATATTCGATTCGTTTACCTGTGTGAAACCAGCCATCAACAATGACATCGTTGGTGAGGTCTTGGCGCTTGTGGTAACCGGAGAACAATGTTGTTCCTCTCAGACAAATCTCTCCACGAGGTGTGCTCGAAAGCGCATCATACCCCATATCAGGCACAGACTCCAGCCTCGCTTCAATCGACGGCATGGGGACGCCGACCGTTCCCATCATCGAGAACACATCGCCTACGGATGTGAAGCACCCGCCACAACTTTCCGTAAGACCTGAGAGAGAAAAATGCCAGTGAAAGAAAGAAATGAAGTCAAATTACCGAAGTTTCGACCAAAGGGTAACTAAAATCTCGACAAAGGTTGTTATGAAACAAATATAACCAACCGTACCATAGCCTTGCGATAATGTGGAGCAGCTGGTGACCCGCAAAAATTCTTCAACATGCTTTGGCAATGGTGCTGCACCAGATGACAGGACACGAACTCTCCCTCCCAACGCTAGTTTTGTCTATGACAATTGGAAACCGATAAGAGTAGAAATTAATGTTCACTGAAAAAGAGATTAACGAGGGATAAATAAGCTAACCTTTTCAAAGACCAGTCGGTCCATGAGAGGCGCGGCTTTATCCTGCGGGAATCCCTTCTCTAGATTCGCTAACTTGCTGTCGATAAGCGATCATTAGACATAGTTATACATGAGATAAAAGGGTAGAACTCAGAAGGATGACGTGGAATCAGGAGACGTACTAGTCATATGCGTACTGGAACAACTTTTTCCGTATCACTCCGCTTGATGAAACTTTAGCAAGTATGCCTTTGAAAAAGAACAAACAAGGATTGAAAGGGTTGACAGTAAACATTGACTAATCGTAATCGCTATCCTTTCGCTAGCGACAGAATTCTCAATTTTATCGAATTAGCGACTCGGGGTAGCAAGCGAATTACCAGTATAGATTCGGTCATAGACTCTGGGAACCCCGCAAAAGATGGTCGGCTTCAGTTCTTGTAGGTCCTCTACCAAAAACCTGACATCCTAAGAAATGAAATCGGAAGGAGTAAGTAGAGAACTCGTAGAAACAGAATGATGTATTGATAAGGGATGGCCGAGTGATCTTACGCCTCGCCAAAATCCTATACAAGAAGCTCTGTAGATGCAGTAAGTTTCCATCGTCAGGTCGTAAATATGAGCCAGAGGAAGGAACGAGAAAAATGTATCCTCTTCCGAGAACTGTAATACAGGAACTTCATGTCACATTAAAGCTACTTCCAAGTCAAGAAAACTTCTCTAGCTCTTGCAAAAACGTATGAACACAAGCAAACACAAAGTGGGAAGAAGTAAAGCCCTAGCCTTGCATCCATTTGTAAGCGTTGCTTATATTTACACTCAAATGATCATCAAATGCTCGTCCACGAGCAACAGAATGCGTTATTTAATTCGCAGAGAACGCGCTTGAATATTTACCACTCTGTCTGTTCGGAAGAGTAGCTTGTCAATCGACAGTACTTGTGCCATGAGAGCCTCGTTGGTGATGATGACCCCTTTCGGATCTCCAGTTGTTCCGCTCGTGTACATTATCGTGCAGACATCGGTCCTCTTCTTTGGAGGCAGTTCACAATCTGCATTTTCCTGTGGTCGGGATCAAGCATGATGGACCATTGGAGCTTGTTAATCAACATACCAGTAATTTGGTCTTACACTCACTCAGAAGTACGGACATATCTATTGAGGAAACGCATCGCCTCTTACCAGCTGCGAGAACTCCTTCCAGGTAAAGCAAGAGACTCCTAGTTCCTCTGCTTGTGCCTCCTGTGCACTTGCAACATCTCCGAAGCTGACAATAGCTGAACAAGGATGACATACACTTAGTTTCTAACCCCTAAATCTTCCATTAACTCTGCACTTAAGGCGTATGCTTAGAGCACAATACGTACTTTTTAAACACGGACATTTGGGAAGGCACGAGAGAATCTGCATAGATAGAGATCTACCGTGTAAAGCAAGCGAACAGAGAAACAGAATTAACTAACGAGTCGGTACTGAAAGGGAAACTCACGGATTGAATCTTGTTTTCCTGCACGAAAGCGATCGAGACTTCTGCATGATTTATGATGAATTCGACCGCGTTGGGACCTGTTATGTGCAAGGCTCAGCCGATAAAGCTTATCTTTGATCAGTTCATAAAGAAGAGCTAAAAATCTAGCAGAATGAGCATCAGAGAAATAGACATCTTGACCTTAAACGAAGTCTATTCTAGAATTAAGAGAAACTCATATCTTACCGAGAGTGTCGTAGAGCGGTACGTATGTCACCGCGTGGGCGCTACAGGCCTGCCAAACCAAACCGAACAAAACCGATTAGCGCAGCCCTAAAGCTCGAAATACTTGCTCAGCAGGTAATAACTTTCGGTTTCTGCATTGAATTTTCTCCATAAACATGATAAATAAACCGAGAAACAAACTGTAAGACTTCTGCAATGGAGAGTGACTGTGTGCTGTATTGCCACGGCAAAACGCGGAATTTGATATAATTAGGTCAAGAGCGGAAGCGAGCGAGCGAGCTGTATTCATACCTCCATGGCAATGATCCATTCTGGGCAATTCGATCCGTATATGCCGCAACGGTCGCCCTGTATCAATAAAACTCATCACATTTCCCTCCATCAAGGAGAAACTGATCACGAATCCCTCCGTCTTATCTACTCGGGTAGTTCGCGAGCACATATGTACTTACAGGATTGACGCCGCAACTCCTGATCGCCGAACCCACGCGGACCGCCGAGCTGTAGACCTCTTGGTACGTATGCCACACATAAGGACCAACCTGCATATATTCAATCAGAGCTTATACCATCTCAGAGAGTGGCTACCACATGACATGTCACCATTGTCCCATTTTTTAGTCGCTTTTGATAGGTGATCAAATCTTCCATCTTGTGTCAAACTTTATTAAGCTTGTTGTGACAAGAAATTTGGAATTCATGGGATTTTTCTCGGACCAAGCTAGAAAATCACATTGCCCCAATAAACATTCATGACGATAAACACTAATGAGAGAGAGAGAGAGATGCACCTTCGAATCCACGACCTGACGACGACCCAGCATTCTGCAGTCGGGCTTTGTCTTAGCGGTATCACTGTCATGACCAACAAAAATTAAATCTAGATTACGATCAACATATTCTCAAAATTGGCCTATTAGCTCAGTTGGTTAGAGCGTCGTGCTAATAACGCGAAGGTCGCAGGTTCGAGACCTGCATGGGCCATTCGACGATTTTATATATTTTTTCTATTATATCATTTTCTCTTACGACAGCCATAATATCATTTCAGCTACCCTTCGCGGAGTTTGCCCCCACCATGTGCTCACCATTAATTTTTCATTTTTCCTATCAATTTTACTTTCCTTTTCGATCGAATTTCGATCTTGAGCCTTCTTAAATTATTTCATTTTACCCAAAATAAGAAAAGAGTAAAAGATTCATCTTTGATGTCTGCGCCAGGATAAGATGACCTACTATAATAATATGTCCCAATCACTCATCGGAAGTGTCGATGTGGTCAGCTTGAACTAATCACAGGTGCAAAATCTGATCACATGTGTCGGGTACATTTTCTTGTTGTGAGTCATTGTATAAAAAGAATTTAGCATATATGAGATCATGGCAAAAGAAAAGATTAGTATCAATATGATTATAGTTTGGTAAGTATACGGAGGCATAACAAGAACTTCCAAATAAAATTTGAGAGAGGCAATCCTCACGGCCATTTCTTTTCCATTCGCCTATGGCAATGGAAATAACTGTAAAAGAATTAAAACTTATGTAAAATGGAGAAAATAAAGTTTAATTAAATCAATGTTTCCCATGTATAGTATCATTTCATTTCTCAAAGTTACTTCTAATTTATGTCGTTGGGTCTCGAATCCAAAGACAGATGGTATGGCGAGCGGCAAGTATAGTATCGGTTTCAATCCCCCCCTCCGCCGTGACAGGTCGAGGCTACTCGGGTTAAGCCGGTGATCTAGCACGAATGAAACCAACATTTTGCATTGAATCGACTCATCGCGATCGGTGACGGCTAGATCGAGCTCACGGGCTATCGCCCTTCTTGACCGTGCGCGATATCTTGGTGCGGTTTTTATCAAATACATAATATAACCTATGAAATTTCCTAAAACAGAAATGCCAAGAAATGCAGGTGTTCCGTTTGAACTAGATTTCTACGTCTCCCGCCGGTTAGAGAGAGAGAGAGAGACCTGAAGAACTGCCATGGAGACTCCATGCCGGGCTCCAACCCGACAAGGCCATCTTCGGCGTAAATGCCTCGGTAAACCGGCCCTGCCGACGGCCTTCCGTTGGCGCCTTCCTTTCCTTCTTCCACCTTGACCGTGTACACCGCCACCTCCTGCATTCTCGGAAACCTTCCGCCGCGCCTCTCGGCTTCTCGATCTTCTTGACTCACCGACGGACGACTCGACTTGACTCGCTCGCTCTTCAATCTCTCAAGACTCTCTCTGAACCAGGGCTCAAGAAAATCAATAATGCGCCTCTTTATATGAAATGGGGGCAATCTTGCTTGTGATGGAGAGCTTTCTTTCTTGACTTAAAGAGAGAGAGAGAGGATGGAGATAGATAGGGTTGGTTGAGCTGAAGCAATTAAGTCTCAAGAATTTAAAGAACACAGCGAGAGAGAGAGAGAAGAAAGGAGGGCAAAAACTATTAATTCCCAGCTACTTTAACAGCGGGAATCAATGGCATTTGTCGACCCTGCTTGTTCATGTCCATCTCTGTACTAGAGAGAAAGAGAGAGAGAAAGCAGCTGCCAATTTATTGCGTTGATGTCCTCATCAAGTTTGTGTTTGCATACATGCCCCCGAGGTTCGCTATATTAGCCAAGGTGGCCCTTCGCCAATTTCTTTATCTGTTGAAATTTTTGAAGGACTTCGTAAACGCCTGCTGGTCAGAGCGTGTGCCTGTGCATGTATATTATACGGTGGGGGCTGGCTGTCAATTCGAGCCTTGCGGAATTGTTAAAAGCTAGCATTTGCAGGTGGATTGGCATTAAATGAAGATTTTCATACGTATATGTACACATTAATACGTTTTATGGACTTTTTTTTATGCCCTAAATGTTCTCTCTAAACATGCCCCACAAATGAAAATATAGGTCTAATGTTAGTTGCGATGAGAGAGACCGGGAAGAAAAAGCTCCGGGTAGACAGACATCCATGATGCAATATAGGAAGATGTTTGTGGTTGAAAACGACTCACTCCGACAAGTCATTAGATGATGAGACGACGTGACAAGTTCGTGCGTCCATTTCATGTGATTTGTAGCGGTCTTAGAACTTTGATTTGATAAAGTTTATTGATCTCTTCTAATAAGAACCATAACACCGCAAGTACCTGAATCATTACTCATTTTACAATCATAATCAAGTATCTTAACTTTTAAACTTGACTCAATGCGAATCTGTCATTAAATTGCGAATGAAAATGCCAATTCGAAAGTAAACCATTAAATAGCCTTTAATTATCCCTATTGAAATTCGATGTGACCTCTTGAGATGATGCCATGTCACAGAAATTTATCGAACGGTTAAGATTGTTCATGACAGCACTATCCCTCCTTCCTCATCACCCAACACCTAAATAGAGATATGACACAAATTTTGTTAAATAAGCGTGTCGCATTGGCAATTGTGCTTAACATTTGCTGAATAAGAGAGTCATGTCATTAAAAACGCATCAGATGGAAATTTTAATTAATGGAGGCCTCACGTTAAGCCAAATTTTAAAAGTTGAGATTCTTGGTTTAGCAAAGAGATTGTTTAGGTGCTCGATTGTACAACGGACAAAAGTTCAAATATTTGTGACGCGATTTCCCCTTTCTAACACACTAGGTATATTTATAAGAAATCGATCCTTACAAAGTATATAAAGTATCACTTGGGTCGTTTTGGACCAATTTAATTAGGACCATGCATTAACAATTAGGAAATTAAACATGATCAATCGAGATAACAAAAGAAGAATCATTGCTGGAAAACTGGTGGTGGATATATAAAGCCAATTAGGGATGGCATTGGTAAGTAAATGACCTTTGACCTTCCGGAGGAAGATATAAGTGCAAGCATATGTTAGTTCCAACGATGCGGTCCATTGGTTGGCACAACTAGCGCACTCAATTCTTAGACCTTTAGCTCTCTTTATATCTCCTGCACAATCATCGATAGGTCAACCACCGAAGATCTTCAAGCTCTAGCTGTATCAAGAAACATAGGGGTTGGTTTACCTGAATACCCATCCCCCTCTTTTGCTCTCTGACATAGGTATATAGATAGTACACAAATGAAGTACTCAATATTGGACCCACAAGACCACCGGGCGTGACAGTCTAGCGATAAAGAGCTTATAACCGTCTTTCATAAGAGCACAAGTTTGAGCAACATTGTGAGTGAATTTCCGGAAAGATTGTATCTTCGGCGTTTGCTACCTCATGTGAACAAAAACTTCCTGATTTCTGGTATGCCGGTAGGTATGGGTGAATTGAGTAGTTATGACTCAAATCAAATAAAGGTTAATAGCTCCTTGCCTAGATCTACAAAGGCTGCAATGCTCACCTGTGGTTGACGACCTTTGCCAACCACCGGCGAGGCCGCGGACCGGCGGAGGGAAATAAGAGAAAAAGAAAAAAGAAAAAGGAAAAAAAAAAGAAAAGGGGAAAAAAGAACAAAATCAAAAAAATATTTTAAAATTGCAAAAATTGTTTACGTCAACAATGTCCGGCCATAATTGGTCGGATGTACTACATTGGTAAATCGTCAAAAGGTTTAGGACTGAATTACCACCAGTACAATAGGTTGAAGACTTTATTGGTAATTTTCCCCTAAATTTGCACATTTTAACCCAAATTTTAGTACTCAAATACATTTTCAGCAACGATTTAGGACTCGATTGAATCAATATAAAGATTTTGGACTCAATTGCATTCCATCCATAAAGTTTAGGACTTATCATGCAATTATTCCGGAAAAAGGAACCAAAGCTTTATGAACACATGAATCATCCAAATCTTATCCCATTAGTCAATTCTATCAAGGATTGACGGAATGATCCGTCCAGAGCAATTTCAAGCGATCTTATCTAGAACCCTGTAATTTAATAAATAGGTAAAAACAATTTGACCGAGAAAAAGAGACGAACCAGTCTGCCCACTTCAATTTCTTTGTGCAGGCCCTTGACATGTACCCATGCCAATTTCAGACAAATGGCCTACCGATCAAACCAGAAAGACGGTCAACATGTATATAAAATCAAGCTAATCCCCACGCGTGCATAGGAGAAAATCTAACATTATTGGATCTTAGCTGTTTTTCTAATAGAAGAGCTAGCAGACGTGTATATGCATTGCGTGTGCGCGCAAGAAATGGACATTTGAATGAATTAAAATTAAAAATTATTTTGTCATGAAGTGGTTGAATCATTATATAATGAAAATACCTATTGATTAAAATGCACAACCCTAAGAAATTTGCATAAATGTGTGGTGAGAGAAAAGTATTTCAAGAGTTAAACATTTTTAAGGTTGGTTTGTCTAGGTTAGAAAATATCCAAATTTTTAAAATTGAAATAAATGAAATTATGAACTCACGCATTTATCCATGAACACAATATATGTGAAGTAAGTTATTAAGGGTAATTGGGGAAAAAATATTTGATCATTATTGCATTGGATTCAATGTCCTACAGCACAATTCAAGTGAAAGTGCCATGATATTCATGTCTGTTTTTCTATATTTATCAAGATATTATGGAATAACTACAAAATGGTCCTTGTACGATTGCCCATGTCAAACTTTGATTCTTATACTTTATCTTATGACACATTTGATCTTTAAATTAATCTGCGATCACGATTTTGGGACGAATTCCAAAATCGATGGGAAATGCCACCTAAGCACCAAAGATGTACACATGGCGCTAAAGTGCAATAAATAAATTTATAATGGAGAGGAGATAACAATAATGATCCCTGTACTATTGCTTCTATTCAATTTCGGTGGAAAAATTACCAAGCATAGTCATGAACCTAATATATTCTTGTCAATTCAGTCATAAACTTTTAATTATGTCAATTAAGTTTTAAACCTTCTCACGTTTTGCCAATTGAGTCCATCGGGCCAATTTTGACAAGAAGTCGCTAACGTGGATGCTAACTATCCTACATGATACAGCTGGCACTAATGTGGAAAATTTTAAATAATATTTTAATATTTTCTGATTTTTTTTATTAATTTTCATTTTTTTCTTTGCATTTTCCTTTTTTTTTTCTCTGTTCCTTCTTCACTTATTCTTTTAGTGCGCCATGCAACCATTCTCCGCCCGGAATAGATTCCGGTCGAAATGATTCTTTTTATCTCGTGCCCTGAACCGATTCTAAGCATTTCAGGCATTTAGAACACCAAAATTTCTATTCCCGAAATAAGTAAAGAACGTAAACGCGTTTGTAGAATCTGCATAAAATTTCTTTTTATTAATAATATTTTAATAACATTTTAAATATTTTAATATTTCTTTCTTTTCTTTTTTTCTTCTCCTCCTTCTTGGCCATGGCCGGTAAAATATTTTTTTATAAATATATTGTTTATTTTTTATAAATATTTTTTATTAATAATATTTTAATAAAAAATATATTTATTGAAAATATATTTTTTATTTTTTTGCCATGGTTGTCAGCGTAGGGTAAATATTTTTTTTATTAATATTTTTTTATTGAAAATATTTTTTTATTTTTTCGCCATGGCCGGTCGTCCGCCATGGCCTAAAATTTTTTTAGTAATAATAATTTTTTTATTTTTTTTCTCCATGGCCTGGTGCCGGCCATGGCCTAGAATTTTTTTTTATTAATAATATTTTTTATTTTTTTCTCCATGGTTTGATCGCTGGCCATGGCCGGTAAATTTTTTTTATTAATAATATTTTTTATTAAAATATTTTAATCTGCTGATACGGCGAGGTGGCCCTCACGCCGGACATTATTTTCTATTATAAAAACAAGAAAAAGAAGAAGAAAAAAACTCGATTCTCATTTTTGTTCCTTAATCAAGAAGCTACTTTTTTTTATTCTTGATTCTCGCTGGCCTAAGCGATTCCGGCACAAATTTGCAAGAATTTGTGCCTGAATAAAAAAATTAAACAAACGGATTTCTATTCCCAAACCGATTCTGAACAAAAGAACGTAATCAAACACTATTTGCAAGTTGCTGCATGCGCAACCTTACCGTGGTTGGCAAGGATCATCGGGCCCTCGCCTGCCGCTAGAGGTGGTAAATGGGTCAAGAACCCATATATTAACCCATATTTAATAATTGTGGGTTATAAATGGGTTGGATTTAGTTTTAAAAATAGACTTAAATGGGTTATTAATGGGTCGCTTATTAACTTAATGGATCTTAAATGGGTATCAAATGGGTCATAAATGGATTTACCCAATAAGCTTAAGTGAAATTTTCAATTTTTTTTTAATTTTTTGATTTTTATAATTTTTATATTCTTTTTCTTTTTTTCTTTTCCTTTTTCCTTTTCTTTTTTTTCTTTTTTCTTCTTCCCCTGCCCGTGGCTGGCCAT